AGCAGGCATGTCGCCGAAGGCAGCCTGACTGCCGCCCTCGCGGCAACCGGCAGGCCGTTCCCTGCAGCTTGCCGCCCCAGGCACGCGCTTGCTGTGCTGGTGCCTGGAGCCGCCCCAGCGCACGGCCGTGAAAGCAGGCTGTGTTCACGCTTGTCCCTGTGGTGTGTAACCACGTGTGGCAGTGAAAGGCTCTGGCGCGGGGAGGCAGCGGGACACCATGCTGCTAAAAATACCAGCGTGGACATGGGTAGGATGTGTAGAGAGATACGCAGGGGATATATCTTAGGGGTCAGGCGAGGGGGGCCCAGCACCCTCCGAGCCTAAGCCGGGCCTCAGCGTCTCCACTGCTAGTGATCCCCGTGCTAGCTGGCTGTGCAGTGCCTGCACTCGACATGCCACTGGAAGGGTTCACGTACTGAGTTCGAATCCCGGTTCTGCTGTGTGACGTGGGGCCAGTCGCCTTCCCCCTCTGTGCCTTTGCTACCCTTAGTCGTGTAACCTCATTGGGCAGGGACTCTCTCTCTCACTACCGTCCTGGAGACCCCGATCCGGGTAGTACAAAGAAGAAGTATCCTGCTGAGGGCAGAGACGCAGCAGCAGGTGCGAACGCAGTGGGTTCTGCGCTAGGCCCGATGCAGCCGGCAGGGCCCGCCTTGCCTGGCTCCTACCAGGAGCTTACACAGTGTGTTTCCGGTCTGTCAGCAGGTAATGAGAGTAGAGCTGACTGCAGGGCCCATTAGCTGGAGTTAAACCAACAAACGCAGCCCCGGTGGGGCAGGGTCCCAGCTGCGTTTTATGCACAGCCATTGCAGCACGCAGATCCCCTCCTCTAACGCACCACCCTGCTGAAATCGTCTCATTGCAACGACCGGCCTGGGTTAACCCGCTCTCCTGAGCACCTGAGTGCCGGCAATGAATACTGCCCCACCCAAAGGCCCCGCTTGGATTTGATTTTTAACTCCCGATTGGAGACAGAGGAGCCTGCCGGAGGTTAACAAAGTTCAGCCCGTTTGCGGTCTGGCAGCCTGCCAGCATCTAATCTCCCAGGCCCTCCGGCTCGCAGGGCTGCGCTGACCCGGGTGTCAAACACAAAGGCAGGCTGTTAGGGCGTCCCCGAAGGGGAACCCAGGCACTTCATAACTCCAGCCTTCAATTAGCCACGACAGAGAGTGAAAGACCAAGGAAATAATATAAAAACAAGCATCACAAAAGGGTTTAAGCAGAGGAACATTTGGTAATTAACTTTGACAGACACACACGCAGCTCTGGAACTCCAAACGGCAGCATGTGAGACTCAGGCCATCCCTTTGCCCGCTCCGTGCCTCAGTTTCCCCATCGATTACATGGCGGGGATAACATCTCCCGCCCCGGCCAGGGCAGGCAAGCCGTTACACAATTTCATGTGTGAAGGCCCCGATCCTGCGACTGGATCCGTAGAGCAGCCCCTGGAGTGGAGCCCCATGGCAGCCCCTTGATTTTGTGCTCGTGCCATGAAGGGTTACTATTCTTACCTGTATCACAGCCGCAGCTAGAGGCTCCAACTGAGCGCCAGGCCCCATTGTGCCGGGCGCTGTACAGACACAAAGCAAGCAACAGCGCCTGCCCCAAAGAACTTGCCATGGAACTAGATGAGAGGGACAAGGTTTGGGAGGGGAAACCGAGGCACGGCGACAGGGGGGCGTGACCCGCCCACAGCCATGCAGCCGCTCAGCGCCGAGCTGGGAATTGAACCCAGGGACTGTCTATCCATTAGCCTGCACTGCCGCTATCCATGAACACGTGGACGGCGTGTTACAGAGCTGGGCCCTACACATGTTTCGCGCTGGCTCGCTGAGCCTCCTGGCAGAATATGTCATCGCCTCGGGAAAGAGAGCGGAGATTATTCAGCCGCTGGAAGGGAATGAGAGAGGCAGCCCCCCGCCGTCACAGGACAGCTACACTAGGGCTGCCGCTGCTTGTCTCTGCCACATTTAAAGGGCTGGCCCCAGGAAGGCATGCTGGGGAAAAATCAGACTCAGCGGTAAGGCAAGTCAGTAGGGCCAAGTTCCCATGCAGGTGTGTGAGATCTAGCACACACCGCTGGTAGGAGGAACTGAGGCAGACCCACCATTCAGTGTCTCACGGGACTGGGCTCATTTGAAGCGTCCCTCTAGCTCCCCTGCCCCTCCCAAAGGCCGGGCCTCCGCTGACGGGGGGGAAGCGAGAAGGCATGCAGCCCCCACTCCTTGCATGGTGGGAGATCCGTGGGCACAGGCATCCCCACTCCCTTGGCGCCCGCAGCTGTACCCATGTTCTGCACGGGGCGCGCCATTGGCAGGGGCCAGGCTGCCCAAGGAGGCAAAAGGAGCCATTTGCCCTGGGCCCGCAAACCAAACGGTCGCTTCTCACCAAAGTTTGGTTCAGTGGCCTCTGTCATGACAGGGAGCTTCCGGGCCAAACCCGAGTGACGCCGGGCCCCATAGAGAGCGAGCGGTAGTTGTGTGTACCACGTGAACCATTTCCGGGGGCCGCCCTGAATGGCTTCTACCCCTGGTGACTAAGCTCCTGACTCCTCACCCCAGCCTGGGCTCTGCCAGGTTTTGCAGAGCATCAACTAGGCCAAGCTTCTCCAACGTCACGTTGTCCTAGATCTGCTCTCCCGGCCTCCTCCCCAGCCACGCCGCCACTGCTGGCAACTGTGCGTTCAGAGGGGTTGTACTAGACAATCGCCACTCCCGCCTCCAACCCCGTCTCGGTCTCCTCTCCCTCTCCACACGCTGTCTCTGTGCAGTTCACACGCGTCAGCAGCCCTGCACGTAGCCTCCCCGAAGTGAGCAACGAGGGCACAGAAGGGGCATCAAATATCAGCTGCATTTTGGGTGCGTGTCGGGGGCAGGGTGGGGGAAGGACCAATAACCCCACTCAGGCTGTGCACTTCGGACAATAAAACACACCGGGAACCAGAAGGTTTCATAGCGTTTCATTTGTAACCACAGTGAAATCTGCAATATCGCATCTAAGGCATAACAGGTGATACATACACATTCCGGCTCCCTCCCTTTCGACCCGCATTGAACAGCAGCGTGACCCAGGAGACGCTCAGCATGACTCTTAAAGTCTCATCAGTTTTGGTGATGGGACGGGATGCAGCAAAAATACGATGTGCAATAGGCGGACAGACAGGTGCAAGTGCTTCCTTGTGCTGCGACATGAAATTAACGTTCATTTGATCTTTCTTCTTTCACGATTTAGGGCCCCGTTTTGCCCAGTTAAGTCTGTGGGAGCAGCAAACTCTTCTGAGAGAAAAATCTGGCCCTATGGTTTGAACTAGGGAAAGTGGAGAGTATTATATGGGGATACATTTGTTAGTCTCTAAGGTGCCACAAGTACTCCTGTTCTTTATATGGGGATGAAATTAAAGCAATACCATCCAAGTGTTTTTGTTCCATGTAATGGTATATTTAGATGCCCGGGACTCTGAAATCAGTACCCTTGATTAATGTTCTTTCGCCGCCACTGAACAGCCACCCTGGTTTGTTATGGTAGGGTTGCTCGTAAGTGCTGGGGAAAACACAGTGGTTTCTTAATGCAAGACGGCTTGTGAGAGCTGAGCTGTAAATGTGGGTTTGCTATGGCAGGGTTGCTTGTCAGCGCTGGGTGCACAGAGTGGTTGTTGGTTTAGGGTTGCTAATAAGCATCTGGCTGCACACATTGGTTTGTTATGGCAGGGCGGTTTATCCTTGCTGGGTTGCTGGCACTGAGGTTTTTTTTCTGAGTGGGTTGGAGGTTAGATAGCAATGTGCTGGGATAAGGAATTTCATGGACTCTGCAAGCCGATGCAAGAAGAAAAGGGAGGTGGGATTTTCTGCCGGATTCCCAACTGCAGCTTTGATAGTGCCTCTTTGCAATCAGTGCAGAGTCGGAAGCTCCGGCAGCCAGCAGAAGGTACAGAACATAATACGTTGACACGGGCTGGGTATGGAGGAAGGAATAAATGAGACGCCCACATAGGCACAGGTGCATTTGCAAAACATACGGAGCCAACACAGATGTGAAAAGGACATGAAATACTGGTGCAAATAACACAGGGGTTTGTCAACACACTTCTCTTTCTTAGCCCAATCTTCTTAATGGGGAAAGGCTGGACTCTAGTTTAACCCAACTTTGACTAAAACGCAGCCGTCTGATGACTACAAACAAACATGGATGCAGTTTCTGACCTGAAAGGCCTGTCAGTGGGGCTGGGGGCTGTTTGGGGACCGGAATGGCAACCATATAACTGCACCTGGATTGGCCACTGTTGGAAGACGGGATTCTGGGCTAGATGGACCTTTAGTCTGACTCAGTCTGGCCGTTCTTATGGTTAGGAAGAAACTCCCCCATCAGCAGGCTATTCCATCACTGACTTCGACAGATGTCAAGTATCAGGGGTAGCCGTGTTAGTCTGTATCCACAAAAACAACAAGAAGTCCAGTGGTCTGTTAGTCGTGAAGGTGCCACTGGACTCCTTGTTGACTTTGACAGAGTTTCTTGCACCTTTTTCTAAGCAGTTGGGGCTGGCCACTGTTGGAGACGCGATATTGGGATAGATGGATCCTTGATCTGAGCCAGCTTGGTGATTTCTTTTCAGAGCTGTGTGTGTTCTTCAGGGCAGGGGCTGCTGTCCCTTGTGATTGCAAAGGGACTGGCCTGCTCTGGTGCTATCACAATAATTAATGACAATGGATCAGGGATTTAGGGCTTGTTTCTTCTCCTCTCAATCCAGCAAAGCACTTAATCATCTGCTTCTTAGGGGCTTCCATTTAAACACGTGCTTAAGCACCGTGCTGGATGGGGACCACAGGGTCACCTTTCATTGCACACTTTGCATAACACATAGAGGGTTCAGGTACTGAGTGAAACCGACCGACTGGACCAAACTCTCATCCCAGTGGAGTCAATGGGAAAGCTTCCACTTATTTCAGTGGGGTGAGGATTGAGCCCACAGACAATAGGAATAGTGGAATAACCTTATCAGAAAGTAGAGTGACCAGATGTCCCGATTTTATAGGGACAGTCCTGATTTTGGGAACTTTTTCTTATATAGGCTCCTATTACCCCCACCCCCTGTCCCGATTTTTCACACTTGCTGTCTGGTCACCCTATCAGAAAGAGACATTGGTCTTTGCCTTTCACGTCCTTATTTTGGAAAGTGCTCACTTACCAGGGTAATGGACACAGAACAACACCTAAATAGACCAGGTCCATCTAGTCTAGGATACTGCCTCCAAGAGTGGCCAAGGCTAGACGCTTTAGAAAAAGATATAAAACCCTTTTAATCCACCTAGCTATACCAGGGGAGAAATTAGTTCCTGATCCCAGCTAGTGATCATATTTTGCCCTGAAGTATGAGGATGGGCAACAAAAGGAAATGCAAAGAAATTTGCAAGTTACAGAGAAATATGCAAGTCCAAATATTGCAATCCTTACTCGGGCACAATGGCCACTTATTTCAATGGCAATTTGGACTGATTAGGAACCATAGAATTTGGCTTCCAAACCTTTAAAAAAAAGAGAGAGAGAAAAGAAAAAACGCATTAGGCTATTTCCCTCAATAATATCATGTGGCAGTGAGTTCCACAGGTTAGATAGTAAGTGCATTTTAAATTATTGCCTTTTATCCCCAAATCCTGATTTAGAAGTTGAGGGGCATTAAACTGATTGTAAGGTTGTATATTTCATTAGTGTTGCCATCATTTAATTTAACATTGCATTTGGAGTGACGTGTTTCTTCGGGGGAGGGGAGGGAACGGGAAACTAACATTGCACTGTCTGGCTTCAGTGTGAATTCACTCTGTTTCTCTTTAATGTGTCTGCACACCGTGATGAGGAGGGTATCTGTTTAGGGGACGCGTATGAAAATGAAGAGCGCTACAGAAAGCAATCCTTGTAGCCCTTCTGCAAGCAGAACCCCCGCTGAAGGACAAGGGAGGTTTGCTCCAGTAATTACAATCAAATCCTGCCTTGCATTTGGTTGCTCTAGATTCTAATTCTATTCCTCGTCACAGTCTGCGCCTGCAGTCCCTATGTAGGCAAAGATCACCCCCACTGACTTCAGCGGGAGCAATAGGTGCATTGTAACTCGCCCCAGGCTACACAGTGCTTTTCATCTTCGATATGCTTTATAGACCAGCTAACTCATCTACATTGCACAGAGGGCAAAACTAAGGCAGAGAGACGTATGCAACGCCCCCGAGAAAGGTGTGACTGGAACGCAAGAGCACTTGGCTTGTAGGCCATGATGCGGACCACTAGCCCACATTTCCTTCGCTAAGGACTGCATGATCAGTCACCCACACTGTCTCCGCAAAGCCTCGCAGCCTAACCACGCCCTACCAAACAAGGCCCTTTCTCAGTGGTGCATTGATATTCAAGCTTTACAGAATGCAGCATATAAAAAAAGGTAAAATAACAACTATTCCAAACTGGTATCGGTTACACGCTGCTTCTGAAACGTTATGGTGCATACTTCAGGGTCGCAAACGTATAGCTGCTTTTTGGCAACAGTCTAGCATCCGAGAGCATGTGTTTCTTTTCCTTCTCTGTACTGCAACGCAGGCCGCCGAGGAGTGGTCACTGATGTCAAACGGTGCCGTGCAGTATCCCAGGATGTACTAGACTCTCTGGCACTCGCCAGTGCCGGTTCAGCTGAAAGGTTTGACCAGTTTCATAGCAGCGTAGTTCTAAGGAAGGGAAGGAAATGACGGGGGGGAAAGAATGGACATAAAGCAGATACAATATAATGGCACATATATGTTAAAATGTTCTTCCTTTACATTGCTGCACAGTCCTGGCTTCATGGCAGAAACCGGTATAGAACTCACATCCTCAGTCTGCTAAAAGACAGGGCTATTACATGTGAGCTAAAAGGTACTCGCCTCTGGTTAGCAGCAGTACAGGGCCTATGATACATAGACAAGTGGTTCTGATTCCATCCAGTAGAGAGCAGAGGTGTCTGTACTCATTAGTCACTTAAACCATCGTAATAACTCTCCAATTCTGTTTTCTCCTTCTATCTTATTTTTAAGATATCCAAAGTCGCACCTCTTCCCAGGCAAGTGTGCGCACGGTGCTGCTGCCTGTCTCCTCCCATCAGCCCCGTCCTCAAACAGCCCCACCACCAGCCTCCTTGCTGCAACTGAGTTTTTAAACCCTCCACTGACTTGCTCCAATCGCTCTTTCTCTTCCTATTCCCACTGGCCCCTTAGCACCTGCTCCCTCTCTGTGCTCTTGTCCAGTCTCATTGCAATGGATGCGAGAACCTTCTTCTCTGCAGATCTTGCCCTCTAGAACCGACTCCCTGTATTGCTCTGACCTCCGCTGAAAGCTTCCCCCTCTCACTTCCTTGTGTGTTCCTCTTAGTGCATTTCCCCTCTGTTATTGGCCTCGTGGTGCAACGTGGCATTCCCCGCAATGCACACCGCCATACGACATCGTCCCATCCCTGTTTTCTGTGATTTCAACCACCTTCTGCGAACCCTTGCAATTCTGTATACTGCAACGTGTCTTGGGATACAGATTGCACAGAAAGCACTATACAAAATAAAGCCAGGGCATGTCACACTCTACTGTAGGCAGAATGCCCCCCTTTAAAAAGGAGATGATAGTAACATGCCGGTTAAATTATCAAGACCTAATAGAAATATGTTAATAGGCATGTTTATATCATTTGGAAAGAGCTATATTTAAACTAGCTTTGATTCACACACACACATGCCCCCCAGCCAAATTGGAAATTTCTTCCAAATACACTGAATGTAATTAGTACAGGATGTTCTATCTTAGAATCATAGGACAGGAAGGGACCTCGAGAGGTCATCTAGTCCAGTCCTCTGCACTCAAGGCAGGACTAAGTACTATCTAGACCATCCCTGACAGGTGTTTGTCTAACCTGCTCTTAAAAATCTCCAGTGATGAAGATTCCACAACCTCCCTAGGCAATTTTGTCCGGTGCTTAACCACCCTGACAGTTAGGATGTTTTTTCTAATGTCCAACCTAAACCTCCCTTGCTGCAATTTAAGCCCATTGCTTCTTGTTCTTGCATTCAGAAGTTAAGGAGAACAATTTTTCTCCCTCCTAGAATCATAGAAGCATAGAAGATTAGGGTTAGAAGAGACCGCAGGAGGTCATCTAGTGTAGTCCAATCCCCTACTCAAAGCAGGACCAACACCAACTAAATCACTCCTCCTTGTAACAACCTTTAATGTACTTGAAAACTGTTATCATGTCCACCTCAGTCTTCTCTTCTCCAGACTAAACAAACTCAATTTTTTCCATCTTCCCTCATAGGTCATGTATTCTAGACCTTTCATCGTTTTTCTTGTTCTCCTGTGGACTTTCTCCGAATTGTCCACATCTTTCCTAAAATATGGCACCCAGAACTGGACACAATACTCCAGGTGAGGCCTTACTGGCATGGTGTAGAGCAGAAGAATTACTTCTCGTGTCTTGCTTCTAACACTCCTGCTCTGCAAGGAGTCACTCTGTTGTTTTTAAAAAACAAAACCTAAAAGCACGTTACCGCCAAGCTCTTTTGAAAAGCACAAGTAAAGTTTGACCAAAGGCATCATGATAAATTACAACGCATAGCGGATTAGGAGGCTGTTTGCCGATTGAGCATCGCTAATAATGCCATAAATCAGGAGAGCAAAACTGGGGCTGCTTACCAAAAGTCATTAGAAAAGCCTCCAGTGGAATAGAACTTTTTAATTAATTACACGCCATTTGTCTTTCCGAGTCGATCCCTCCAGAATAGTATTATTTTTCTGATTTGACTGGTTCCATTCTGGAGGGGAGCAGGTTTCCTGTCCAGCTATGAATTTCTATTAACGAAGTGCTGAAAGCCAACTAGGATTATCAATCAGCGCAGAAAGCAAGCTGTAATTAGAATGAATGGCAATGGAAGCAAAGCTGTGCTTGCATAGCACAAACAGAGCTTGAAAGAGGAGTAAACAGCTGTGTGAAAAACAGAGCAGAATCCAGTTGGAAGAAGCGTTACATGTTTGTATTTTGGTGGCCGCTAAAATCTTTACAATAAGCACTTTGTCCGGTAGATAACTTTACCGGGGTATTCCCTACATTTCATAGATTCAGAAGGCCAGAAGGGACTGTTATGAGCCTCTAATCTGACCTTCTGCCTAACAAAGGCTAGAGAATTTCATCCAGGGACGCGCATAGTGGAAAGCAATATCCTTCCTTATTAAGTCAAGCTCAAATGGAAAGCCCATTTAGGTCAAAGGGGGTCTTTCCATTGACTTCAGTGCACACTGGATCAGGCCCCAAGTGAGTGGTATTGAGCCTGACAACTGGTGGTGGAACCAGAGCATATCTTTTAGAAAGACATCCAATCTCAATTTAGAGAGTTCAAGAGATGATGAATTTACCACAGCTCTTGGTAAGTTTTTCCAGTAGTTAATTACACTTGCTGTTAAAAATAGCATCTTAAATCCCTTTGGAATTTTTCTAACTTCAGCTTCCAGCCACTGGATTTTATTATGCTTTTGCCTGCTGATTAAAGCTGCCCCCGATGGCAGACTAGGTAGAGGGTATATAGAAGGATAGGAAATTTCCAGGGAACATCACCATCAGAGTCCTTACGTGCAGAGGTAATGGGAAAGATTATAAGTGGCAACCACTGTATAAGTAAAGTTAGTTCAGGCTGTCAAGTAATGCGGCTATGTGGAATAGACTCCACTATATTCAGGAACCTCAGACTATCAGCTTTTCAATATTTTGCAAAACCTGACAAATTTTAGAGACAACCCGCCAAACCTTGCAGTTTTCTGCTCAAAACCAGGATGTTTTTCGAGTGGAAATGGTTTCATCGTCAATTGAAAAATGTCAATTTCCAATCATCTGCTAAAGTTCAACATTTCTGTAGCAAAGCCCACAAAACTGGGATTTTGGTACATTTCCGTGGGAAAATGTGACATATGGCAAAAAAATAATGAAAAAAAGCAATGGAGTCACAAAACAGCATGGAATGGAAGTGCAAATAGGGTTTTCTTTTTTAAAATATTGCCAAAAAATATTGTTTCTGCTGTTTGCAGAAAGCCTAGGTGGGAAGAAGGACATTCTTGTGAGTAAGTCTTGAGGTTAGGCCTCAGGAGATCTTTGTTCTATCCTCAGATCTATCACAGACTTGCTTTGTGACTTTGGAAAAGTCACTTAACCCCTGAATCAGCTAAACATGTGCTTAAATCCACCCCTAAGTCCTTAGGTGCTCTGCTCATCTGGGGCCTTCTCAATTCTCTCCTCTGTACAATGGGTAAAATACCTCTCCAAGCTCACAGTTCAGTTGTGGAGCTAAATTCATTGACATTTCTACAATGAGCTGAGGATGCACCCGATTAAATCAATAGTAAATCTCCCCTTGACTTAAATGGGGGTGCAGAATCAAACTGTGAGAGCCACAGATGGCAGGAACTATGCCAGGGCAAATTACTACTGTAGAAAGCCCATGGCTTAGACCTATGGATTGGCCATTTGCTCTTGGAATGTCTGATGACAATGGCTGCGAGAAGCTGGCTTTATTACATTGGCCATGGGAGCCAAGTCATGAGTCAGCTTGTTTGTTTCTGTTTCTTGACGGGTTCCTTTCTGCCTGAAATTCAAGGCTCTTCAAGCTGTCATGGGATAAGAGGGAAGGTCCTCTCATGGATTGGTAACTGGTTAAAAGATAGGAAACAAAGGGTAGGAATAAATAGTCAGTTTTCAGAATGGAGAGAGGTAAATAGTGGTGTCCCCCAGGGATCTGGAGGGACATTCAACATATTCATAAATGATCTGTGCAGAGTCCTGCACTTAAGAACAAAGAATCCCATGCCCCGCTACAGGCTGGGGACCGACTGGCTAAGCGGCAGTACTGCAGAAAAGGACCTGGGGATTACAGTGGACGAGAAGCTGGATATGAGTCAGCAGTGTGCCCTTGTTGCCAAGAAGGCCAAAGGCATATTGGGCTGCATTAGTAGAAGCATTGCCAGCAGATCGAGGGAAGTGATTATTCCCCTCTATTCGACACTGGTGAGCCCACCCTGGAGTACTACATCCAGTTTTGGCCCCCCACTACAGAAGGGATGTGAACAAATTGGAGAGAGTCCAGCGGAGGGCAACGAAAATGATTAGGGGTCTGGGGCACATGACTTACGAGGAGAGGCTGCGGGAACTGGGCTTGTTTAGTCTGAAGAAGAGAAGAGTGAGAGGGGATCTGATAGCAGCCTTCAACTACCTGAAGGGGGGTTCCAAAGAGGATGGAGCTCGGCTGTTCTCAGTGGTAGCAGATGACAGAACAAGGAGCAATGGTTTCAAGTTGCAGTGGGGGAGGTCTAGGTTGGATATTAGGAAACACTATTTCACTAGGAGGGTGGTGAAGCACTGGAATGTGTTACCTAGGGAGGTGGTGGAATCTCCTTCCTTAGAGGTTTTTAAGGCCCTGGATGGGATGATTTGACAAAGCCCTGGCTGGGATGATTTCGTTGGTGTTGGTCCTGCTTTGAGCAGGGGGTTGGACTAGATGACCTCCTGAGGTCTCTTCCAACCCTAATCTTCTATGATTCTATGATCTGGAAAAAGGGGTAAACAGTGAGGTGGCAAAATTTGCAGACGATACAAAACTGCTCAAGATAGCTAAGTCCCAGGCAGACTGCAAAGAGCTACAAAAGGATCTCTGAAAACTGGGTGACT